TATATGTAAGTATTTTTAGATAGACAAGGATGAGTTTCACCTTTTTTATACAAGTAGGTATTTGCTCAAATCCTTTAAACCAGAATTTCCTCAGTTCTCACCTATGTACAGGTGGCCATTGGAAGCCCAGCTGAGGGACCTCTTACAGCTTCAAAGTGGTAGTATTTTAAATACTGCAGGCAGTAGTATTTTAAAATAAATTAGTATTTCAGGCTCACTGTGGAAAGTCTGCATGCTTTAGAAGGGGTGCTGGGAAGAGATGCCATCTTCTGTGACAAATGAAAAAGGAAGATGTGAAACTGCAGAGACTGGAGAAAGAAAGCACAGTGTGATAAAGCTCTGTTTGACCTCACGAGGTTCCTAATGAAAAGGGGAATGAAGCTCACCGGGAGCCCATAGGTAGGTCACAAGCCGGTTCAGGTAAAATGTTAAACAGGGGGTTTTGCAGCAGATGGGATGTCCTGCAGCGGGGAGTCGAGAGCAGCTCACCCACCCCTTCCCACAGCTTCCCGAGCGAGACACGGAGCGCCTTATATACACGTGGGTGTATATACATCTCCCTCTGCCCTCACTGGGAGCAGGCACTGCGATGATCGTTTATGGGGGTCCTTTCTACCAGCCTCTGTCTGCTCCCGGTTTGGGGCCCTCGTCCGTACAAGCACACTTGGAAATACTGAAATCTGCATCCAAGTCTTCCTTCCCGATAACCAAACCCAACAGGTAGAAACAGCTGGATTTACGTCCAGCCCGTTCCCTCTGCACACCCACACACTGCGATAGTTCAGCGCTAATTGGACTGACAGGGAATTTCCATTTGCTCTTGAGCATGCTTTCTTTTCTCATTAGGGATATATCATCCGTTTGAGTTAAATCAGCTGTTAACAGAACAAAACATTCAGTTTAATGGAAATCAGTGGTATAAAATCCCAGATTTTTCAGAAAGTGCATTAAGAGGCAAAGCTGGAAGGAATTCAGTTTCAGCTATACCAGACAGAAACCTATTCGGCTACAAGGCATATGCTAGAGCTATGGAGGAAAAGGTGCTAATGCAGCATGCTTTATGGTTGTGGTCCAAAATAAGAACAGATCAGTGATACAAGCAGGAAGACACTAATTTGCTGGCTGTGTGTGAAGGCATGTAGCAGTGTGGCTGCTAAAAGATATGCCGCGTTCTTTACTCATGCAAAGTGCTTGGACCTTTCACAGCTGAAGCACTGCAGTCGGAACGCGCAAACTGTTAAAACCAGTATGTGAGATTTCCATTTCCAGTCCTGGCAGGCTCAGCAGGGCGGTGCTGAGACGCGGGCTGCCGATGGAGCAGCAGGGACGGAGCTGTCACCCCGCACGGGCCCGGCTGCAGCGGGCAGGAGGTTCCCTGGCAGGGCCAAAGTGCCACTGAGGTGGGCGAGGAGCGAGGAATCCCGGCCACCCGCACCCCTCTGCCCCCCAGCAGCTCCCCCCCGGCCCGCCCCGCGTCGCGGCGGGAGGGGAAATGGAGTGTGGGCAGAGACAACAGATGAGGTTTGCTAGGCAAAGGATGAAATACTGAGCAGTCACAGCGACTGGGGTTTAAAAAAGGAAAGCCTGGACGGAGTGAGGTATGTGAGGCGGGAGTAAAAAGGAGGCAAAAATGCCAGTGATTTGGAAAATGTGCATGAAAAATGGAAATGGTGCTTTTCCACTCTTGCGAGGCAAGGCGAGTGTGGTTCCAGATAAGTTGCTGCTGTTTGCAGTGTGTGGTAGCACCTGATGCTCTGACAGGGGAGTTTTTTCCCCGGGAGGAGCTGGGAGGTGATGGGGAGTGTGATGTTACACCCTCGAGGGCACCATCGAAGCTGCAGCTTGATGCCTGTAATCAGTGTGAGCAACCCCGTCTGCTTCGAGTGCCCACCCTTCAAAGGAGCCATTTGAAAATGAGATGACACTCAGAAAAAAAGTTACGGGTATCTCGGAAAATCCTGCCCTGGCACAGCAAACTAAATAAATCGAAGTTTCTCAGACCAGATTATAAATCTGAGCTTGGAGTCTTTAGCAACGGATCAACATTGCTGGAGCTGAAGGATGTGAAGCCTGGGTTTGGTACAGATTCACTTCTGCCTTTGGCTACCTATACATTTGTGTTCAGCCTTGACTGTGCCTACTGGTCCCCCAAGATCGTTACGTGGGACGAGGTGTCACCTCTCTGCAGCCACGGCTTCACGGCGGTGTCCCTCCCGTCCCCCCCAGCGGCACACCGGCACGGCGCGGGTGGTCGGCGTGAGCACTGCCGGGGGTGCCGGGGCAAACGGGGCGCGAGCAGCCGCGTCCTGCCCGTGTCCCCCCAACACTCGGGCTGCCCCCCCCCCGCACCCCCGCACCCCCCCGGTGCCCTGGCCGGAGGAGCGGGCGCCTGGCTCCGGCACCAGCACAAACCCTGAGAAGTGCCTCCTTCCTTCCCCGGGCAGCTGTGGGCTCCCTGAATTACTGCGCCGACCTTTTGTCTCCACCGTTTGGATTTACGGCGCTGCTTAGGTAACAGAGGAAAACAGGCTGTAGTTCATAGTGCACATTTACTGATGCTATCTAACGCTGCTTTGGCATGTCTCAAAATTTGCTCAAAACGAGGAATTCAAGGAAGCTGCCAAGAGAAGCTACGTGCTAGCAATGGGACTCAGAAAATCACTAATGAACTAACAATCATAAAGGGAAAGATAAACTGAAAGGCTTCTCGTATGATAATAGCATCACTTTGTATTTTCTCTCATGATAATATTTTCTCCCACACCATAATCCAAGTTCTTTATTAAAACGAACTCTGGCTTGGGCCATGCAGCTGCTCCTCCAAGGAGCAAGATGGCTTCTTCATAAACCAGCATGGTGGGCTTGATGTTATTACACCGTATTCACCGTACGTCTGGTTTGTGGGTTGGGTGTTTTCTCTTGTGGGAACACTGAGGCTAAGGATTAATTTTTGCTAGAATTTTTAAATCCTAGAGGGCACCACTGAACAGTTTTGTAAACCAGGCTTGCTTTGCAACACAGATTTTACAGGTGTTGCTGTCCTTGTCTCGTTTCTCGCTTTCCTTCTTCTTCATATCCAATTTGTATTAAAATTTTAAAGAATCTTCAAAGTAGTAAATATGCAGTTAGTGGATGAGTACAAAAAAAAAAACAAAACAAAAAAACAAAACCCACCCAGTAATATACAAGAAGAAAAGGTCTTATATGTACAAAATTGAAGCTGTTGCTTCAAAGTTGTAGTCTGTGTAACTTGCCCACAAGAGATGCCGGGCTGGCAACTCCATCTGCATCCACTTGCATATTCCTACAGGGGTACAATATGCAGCTGATTTCCCAATTAAGCTTTCCCAACAAAGTAGTTTTATAATTTAGACAGACTCAAAAGTTTGAAAAATGAATACATATTCATGAAGTACTAATAATCCTCCGTCTAGAACACAGCTTTTAGCTGAGAGCAGATATGACTAGCTCATGTATCACTCACCACACATCTTAACTAAAATGTGAACAAGGAAGAAATGGCTGAAACCAGCAGATTGTGTTTTGCCAAGACAATAAATAATAATCGCATTCTGACTCAAGTGCCAAATGTATAGTGCTTAATTAGAGGTCAGTAGAGCATATTTCTGCTCAGCTGTTCCATTTACAGCAATTAACATGTTCGTGGAGCTTAAACTGGGTTGCAGAGCAGATTTCAAAGGGTTGAGTGAAAGCCCAATCAGGGAAGCGTTGTTCAGCCGCTCGGGAGCGGCACACCTGGCACCCCGCACCGGGACGGGGCTACCGGGCTGAGGGATTGGGCTACCGGGCTGAGGGATGGGGCTACTGGGCTGAGAGATGGGGCTGCCGGGCTGAGGGATTGGGCTACCGGGCTGAGAGATGGGGCTACCGGGCTGAAGGATTGGGCTACCGGGCTGAGAGATGGGGCTGCCGGGCTGAGGGATGGGGCTACTGGGCTGAGAGATGGGGCTGCCGGGCTGAGGGATTGGGCTACCGGGCTGAGAGATGGGGCTACCGGGCTGAAGGATTGGGCTACCGGGCTGAGAGATGGGGCTGCCGGGCTGAGGGATGGGGCTACTGGGCTGAGAGATGGGGCTGCCGGGCTGAGGGATGGGGCTACCGGGCTGAGAGATGGGGCTGCCGGGCTGAGGGATGGGGCTACTGGGCTGAGAGATGGGGCTGTCGGGCTGAGGGATGGGGCTACCGGGCTGAGGGATTGGGCTACCGGGCTGAGAGATGGGGCTGCCGGGCTGAGGGATGGGGCTACTGGGCTGAGAGATGGGGCTGCCAGGCTGAGGGATGGGGCTACTGGGCTGAGAGATGGGGCTGCCGGGCTGAGGGATTGGGCTACCGGGCTGAGAGATGGGGCTACTGGGCTGAGAGATGGGGCTACTGGGCTGAGAGATGGGGCTGTCGGGCTGAGGGATGGGGCTACCGGGCTGAGGGATGGGGCTACTGGGCTGAGGGATTGGGCTACCGGGCTGAGGGATGGGGCTGCCCGGCCGAGGGATGGGGCTGCCGCTCCGTGGGGAAGATGCCTGTGTCGGGGAGGGGGGCTTGGCCCGGGCGCACCGCCCCACTCCTCCACCCCTGCGGCGGGCCGGGGGTCCTGCCCGCCCGTACCGCCGCGGCTCCGGGGCCAGCCCGCCCGTGGGGGGGGGGGGGGGGGGGAGGTGCGTGGGGGCACCGGCGCCTGGGGGTGCGTGGGGCTGTGTGCCCCGGGCGGGGCGGCCCCGGCCCCCCCCCCAGCCCCGGCCCCCCCCCAGCCCCGTGCCGCGGGCGGGGAGCGGCGGCACCGCCTGCGAGGGCGGCGCGGGGGGCGGGCGGCGCGTCCCGGGGCCGAGCCGGCGCCTCGTCCCGCCCGCACTCCGCCCGGGGCCGGCGCGCTGCCCGCCGCGGCTGAGGGGCTGCGGGGGCCCCGGAGCCGCTGCCCCCCTCCCCGCCCTGCCCGGCGATGGGAGCCGGGGCGGCGCGGGGAGGCGAGCGCGGGCTGAGGCGGAGGAGGAGGAGGAGGAGGAGGAGGAGGGAGCCGCGGAAGGCAGGTGGGGGCGAACCCCCGGCGCTCCGCGGAGCCGGGCTGGGGCGCGGCGGGGAGCGGGGCCGAGGGGACTTCGCGGAGCCGGGCGGAGGTTGAGCGGCGGCGGGCGGGCTGCGGGACGGGGCCGGCGGCCGCGGTGCTCGCCGGAGGAACGGCGGGCGGGGAAAGCGGCTGCCCCCCCCCCCCCCCCCCAACACCCCCCCCCGCACCCCCCCGGCCCCGCTGCCCCTGCCCGGCGCCCGCCCTTCCCCGCCCGCCCGGCCCCGCCGGCCGCTGTCGCCTGCCCCGTCCTCCGGGGCCTGGGGGGGGGGGGGGGGGGGCGGTTCCCGGGGCCCGGGTGGGGGGGTGCCGGGGCCGAGGAGGGGTCCCCGGGTCCCGGTGCGCGGCGTGGGGGGACGGCCCGCACCCCACCGGCGCGGGTGGGAGCGGCTCAGCCCAGCGCAGAAACCCTCTGAAGGAAAGCAGGGCAGGTTTTACCTCCCAGTTAGGTTTCCTTCGCTCCATTTTTTTTTTTTTTTTTAGATGCGTTGCTGTTCCTGTAGAGACTTCCTTGCTTCACCTCAGACCTATGTGACTCTGGTGGAAGGATCATGACTGAAGTCCTCTTCTCTGCTGCTTTGAATGGAACTGAGCCCAACCTGTTCTCCAGCAGCGGCTGGTCTGCGGGAAACGCCACCACCAAGTGTTCCCTGACCAAAACTGGCTTCCAGTTCTATTACCTGCCCACCGTCTACATTCTCGTCTTCATCACTGGGTTTTTGGGCAACAGCGTGGCCATCTGGATGTTCGTCTTCCACATGAGGCCTTGGAGCGGCATCTCGGTTTACATGTTCAACTTGGCGCTGGCCGATTTCTTGTACGTCTTGACTCTGCCTGCCCTCATCTTCTACTACTTCAATAAAACGGACTGGATCTTCGGAGACATCATGTGCAAGCTGCAGCGGTTCATCTTCCACGTGAACCTGTACGGCAGTATTTTGTTTCTAACTTGCATAAGCGTGCACAGGTACACGGGGGTGGTGCACCCCCTGAAGTCGCTGGGGAGGCTGAAGAAGAAGAACGCGGTGTACATCAGCACCCTGGTCTGGGTCGTTGTGGTGGCCGTGATTTCCCCGATACTCTTCTACTCGGGAACGGGGATAAGGAAGAATAAAACCACGACGTGCTACGACACAACAGCCGATGACTACCTGCGAAGTTACTTCATTTACAGCATGTGCACCACGGTGCTTATGTTCTGCATCCCATTCATCCTGATTCTTGGTTGCTATGGGCTCATTGTGAAAGCTCTGATTTACAAAGATTTGGACAATTCTCCTCTCAGGAGAAAGTCGATTTACCTGGTTATCATTGTGTTGACGGTCTTTGCTGTGTCTTACCTCCCCTTCCACGTGATGAAGACCTTAAATCTAAGAGCCAGGGTGGATTTTCAGACCCCACAAATGTGTGCCTTCAACGATAAGGTTTATGCCACTTACCAAGTGACGAGGGGGCTGGCCAGCCTCAACAGCTGCGTCGACCCCATTCTTTACTTTCTGGCAGGCGATACCTTTCGAAGGCGCCTTTCCAGGGCGACCAGGAAATCGTCCAGAAGAAGTGAACACAACGTGCAGTCCAAAAGCGAGGAGATGACTCTCAATATTTTATCAGAGTATAAACAGAACGGAGATACCAGTTTGTGAACAAATGCAAAAGATTTGGGAACAGTTTGGAAAAAATCCTCCGCTCGGAGACAGTAGGACACTGTAGTGCTACAAGTGTGTGAGGAAAATCTACCAGTCTCTCAGATTCATTTTAGGTAAAGCCTCGTTTTCTGATCTTAGAAAAAGCTTGACAAAGTCAGTGGAAGAATTTGAATGGAAAATAACGTGTCAAAATTCAGCTTTCCTTCTGCTTGCAATATTCTCATTTCTTTCTGACTTGTGTCAGATAAAGTAAAATGAAGTAAATCCCCTAAAGGAAGCAAGCAATCCAAGTACTTCTGGTTTAATGACTTAGTCTCCCACGTTCAAAAAGGCTCTCAAACAGCCTCTCTTTAAAAGTAGGAAATAAAGATAAGAAAGAGCAGTGTCTTCTCTTCCGAGGCTCAGTCCACACACCTGGCCTTTCGCTCACTTGCCGTTGTAAACAAGTATTTAAATCAAAGTCACGATGCAGTTATCTCACCTTTTACAGTTTTATTATTTCTTCATCTACTAGTGTTGATAATTATTTGATAGTTCGGTAGCATTTATGATTCAGTCTTCTTTGAGTGCCGGTGTTTTACAAGAGGTAGGCTTACTGATGTGTGCATGATTACGCTTTCAGATTACGATGGTTGTTCATGAAAAATCTGGACACACCCCACCCCCCACCCCCCCCCATTAAAAGGCAAATTGGCTTCCAGGTGACCCGAGCCCTCCGCGGCTGGCAGACAGATAAGCGGGTCTCTGCCTGCTTCGCACCTGCACGTGTTTCGCCAGCGCCGGTGGCGGGAGCCTCGCTGGAGTTCTTTACGGGTAAAAACGTGCAGAAACGCCTCTGCTGGAAATAACCGTACCTTTCGGACGAGTGGAACGGCGGTCGCTCGAGTTACCCGCGTTTTCATTTGGTATGAGAATGTTTCTGTTCCTGGTGGTCTTTAGGGATAACGTAAGAGTTGTCTCCCCAGAAAATAATTATTAAAATGGGTAATATAAATGGATTATATATTATATATATATATATATAAAAAAAAAATAACTGGGGGGAATTAATTTTTTTGTACTGTGACAAATAAATTACTGTATTAACAAGATATTGCAACATACTACAGGCTAAATCCGGCCCTTTATTACATATCTCCTCCAAACGTGGAACAGGTCGTCCAAAATTAGCCAAACTGCAATATTGTGTAACTCAAGAGCTAGTGATCAGAGCACAGATGAAATCGTACATGGGCAGTCATTCATTTCTCGTATTTTTAAGAAATGTATTTGAAAATATTGTGTGCTAAAAATGATAGGAAAGCATGCTCTAAATAATAAATCTAGTGTACAAAATGAAGTTCTATGTAAACCTAAGGGTGATTTTTAACAGATCTTAGTTCCTCCAGTCTTAATAGTAAAATATTTATATTTTACTTACTAATTTCCAGTGATTGGTAACAGAAAAGAATAGCTCTAGTTATTTTTTTTGACAACATTGTAAAGCAGCTTCTGTTCACACGTACAGCTTCTTAATCTGCAAAATCCCTATTTATTGAACTTATTTATTGGAAAGTTAAATGTAAAGTATGTAAAGTGTGGTACTCTGTGGTCATATTCAGAATTGGGCATTAATGGAAAATTTAACAGCATGTTTCAATCACGGTAATACTGTGTCTTCTAACAGAACATCTTTATAATAAACTCAATTCCACCCTGACTATTCACTGTTGATATGTAACCTAGTGATAAATTAAACTACTGATTTATAGCCTAGAGATAAGTTAAACTACTGCTTAGGAAGCATAGCTCCTTAAAGCAGTGTTAAGATCTCATTGAGCCCTATAGGATGAAAAATGTAGAGGTAGTGAAGAAATCCCAAGCAAGGGTCAATTGCTAATTAATCCCTCCTGACAAAAGACTGTGGAACAGCACAGCCTATTTATATCCCTGGAGAGTGAGCCTGATTCACAATAAATGACTTCTCCTATTATGTGATTGTTTGAGACTTCATTCAACTGAGCCATGTCCTGGCTGGAATGGCAGATGAGTTAAATTGAGAGAGAGCATAAAAATAGGATATTCTCTGAATCTGCTCTGCTAGGTTTAAAATCGTATTCGTTTCCCAGCGTTTCGTGGTCTATTTCTCTCTTTCAGTTAGGAAATAAAATGTTCCACTAATTCATGTCTGAAAAAAGATCCTAAACAGATGCAGCAGAATGTAAAAACCGCACCCCCAGGTTGGTCCTCATGTAGTTACTTGCAGCCTTCTCGCAATATGTCTCTTTAATATGGCAAAGCTGGCAGGCTAGGACAGCGTGCGTGAGCTCGGAGAGCCACAACCCCGGGGCCGGGCGGGAGCGGAGCGCCCGCCGTGGCTCTACCCGTGAAAGCTCGCTCTGCCTCGCCTCGCCTCGCCTCGCCGAAGAGCACGGCGTCCCCCACTTCATCACCGAGGTCCGTGCTGGGCACTGATTTGATGAAGATCGCTTTCGCTGACGGTCGGCCGTGGCAGGGAACCGCACTCGGCACCTTCTCCTCACGGGAGCGTACCGGAGCCTCCCACCGAACGGCGAGAAGGATCATTAAACACATTTTCCACACGGTTTGTTTCCCATCTTTCAGCCCCGGTGACCGGGAGCGCTCGCACCTCAACCCGCGTGCTGCTCCGGCGCGACTCCCCGCCGTACACCCCCCCGGCATGCCGCAGCCTCCTCTCAGTCCCGCTGGAACGTGACGCCGTGCCTCGCAATCGCCCGAGAAGTTCCCGCTCTCTTTCCCAGCGCTGCTGGACCGGGCGCGGAGCCGTCGGCACCCGCAGCCTGGCGGGATCGTGGCCGTTGGGCCATCCCGTCGGCGAGGACGCCGCTTCGACGCGGGGGGACTGGGCAGCACCGGGACAAAAAGCAAGCAGGTCTTCTGTGCTGGCTGGAGCCGTTAGCTCCTGGGCAACTCGGCAAGTCTGTCTGTTGTTAAATATTTGCCTTTTGGCCCTTATCCTTGCCGTAACGTATTTGTGGAAGCCAAGCAGCCCGCCAACCTTAGGTGATCCCTGCCTTTATCCGTAAACCTCTGCCATGGATGTAGTCGAAGAAGCCTCTCCGGAACCCACTCGACAGCAGTTTCTTTCTGATCTATCCAATATGCAAAGAGAATGCAATCTCAGCTACAGCCTTTGGGCTGTTAATTAATAATCAATGATGACGATGGGTTGCGTTTACTGGGAACGGGATTCAGCTCATCGCCTCCCTACAGGAAGACCACCTAAAAGTTCCACCTTTTCCTGTTTTGCTACATTAGCCTTCGACTAGCAAATGAGAGTAAACATTTTATGATTTCATGGTCATGCTTTTAACCTTTTCTTCCTCTGGGTGTATCTGGGAATCTTTTAATAACTACAAATCATTCGCTGAAGACACCAAAAGGTTTGGAGTAAATAGCTATTTAGAGCTTAAGTTTTGCCAAAGCATTGTACTATGATCCACGCTGAAACAAATTCTTATTCATTAGCTATATTTTGCTTCCTCTGGCTCACAGGGTTAATTTTTTTTTCTAATTTATGCCCATTAATCCTTACATATGGTAATCTCTAACACAAAATGAAATCGGTAAGAAACCTACGCATGATCTGCTGTCAGTTTGTACGTTTTCATCACACAGCACCACGGGTTGTTGTTGTTGTTGTTGTTTTAATCCAGTTCATACGACACCGAGTTAACAAAGTCACGCTCAGCCCTAGGGACCCAGCAGTGCCTTGCCTGACCCTGCTCTCAGCAGGAGGGTGCCCTGGCGAGCTGCCTCCCCACCCCAATTCCCCAGCACCCCGGCGAGCTGCCTCCCCACCCCAATTCCCCGGCCGTGGGGACCTGTGGGACCATCCCCGTGGCTGGCGGCCAGCGCGTGAGCGCCGCGGAGCATCCTGCCTCTTCTCACCCGAGGACAGGGCCTGAAGATTCGTTCCCACAGCGTGGACCCCCCCAGACTAAACCCCCCGGGGCCGTGCTGTATGAGCCCAGCGAGGGGCCACGCCGAGTCTTCCCCAGCCTGGCATCCTCCCCTGGCTGGCTGAGGAAGGACAAGGAGGGGGGACACGGGGAGCCTGCGGAGCACAGGGCGCCCCACGGAAAGGGCTGGTCTTCCCCACTGCCACCCGCCGATGGTCCGAGCTGGACAGGCAGGTCTGGAGCAGGGGAACACGCTGGCCCCGGGGGTGCCAGGAGGCACAAAAACCTGCTAATTGCCTTTCTGGGATTCTTTTTTTTTTTTTTTTTTCCCCCCCACGTTGCTAGTTTTTGTCTTCAGCTTGGTCCAGAACAAAAACATTAATAGAGAGTGAAATGTCTTAACACAGGTATTACTTATTTGTGTGATAAGTTCATTATTTTTTCAAGTCTACGCCTTCCTGTTTGTCACCTGCAGTGGTTAGTCCTCTCCTCTGGTAAGCTTTCTGAAGGGAGCTCTAGGCCTGAAGCTGAATTTGAATACGAAAAACGTGTTCCAAGCTCCTGAGCAGCCATGTTCAACTACTGCCAGTTGCAAACTGGGGAGGGACCAGTGGAGCTGCAGGGGGAAATGCTGACCCGTGGGTGGAAGTTGGTTTAAGATGGACACTAAAAGCCCTTAAGTTTGTTTGTTTTTTTTTTTAAAAAAAAAAAAAAACACGGCAACTATAGCTGCTTGAATAGGACGGTTTCACCCTGCTTACATTCGCTGTATTATTTCTAACTTCAGGTGCTTTGCACTGAATCAGAATCTACTACAGAATAGTATTTCTGGAGCCTAACTGTACTGGCACCATAGTTTCAAATACTTTGAAGACAGACGACTTGTGAATTAAAACCACTACTTGTTTTGTGGCTGTGAATTACAGTGTGTTTCAAGGATATATGTGAAAATGTTTATTTTTCTATCGTACTGTGATTTTAATATTGTTGAGTAAGTTCAATTTTTGTGTAAATACTAGTGAAATTTGACTGCGATAGCTGCAGAGACAGTGCTACTTGGTATTTAAGCTCAGGTTATGTAACTGCTTTAATTAAATAGTAGTAAAAAAAAATCCCCTTATTTGTCTATAATTTTAACAACTAAAAAGACTTTGTTTTTTAATAAAGCACGAGGTTGTTTGCATGTACATTTACTGTTAGGCATGGCTTTTGAAGTTGTAACTATTTTTAGTGGCAGCAGAACTGCAGCCACAGAGTTACTGGCACTGTACCTAGCAACCTCACTTTGAAACCGCTCCAATAAAATTATGAAACACTTTTTCTGCCTTTTGTATTATTGCAGTTAATTCATGTTTCCAGGTGATGCTTCAGGCAGCCATGGGTACTTAAAACCAGATAATAAAAGGGTTTTCAAAAAATATATAAAATTTAAAACCTTGCGAAGGACCAGGCGGATCAACTGAGAATCAAGACGAGTAAATGAAAGGTGCTCGTCTCCCAGGATTTTGGGGGCCAGCCTGTCTGCAGGTACGGGTGGCCCCCGCCCTGCCCAGCACCCCGCTCCCAGCACCTCTCCCCGTGCCAGCATTCGGCCGGGCAGGAACCCGCTCCCAGCCCCTCTCGCCCCCCCCCCGGCAGCTCCCCCTCGCCCGCGGGGGGGTCTGTCCCCCCGGTCCCCATCCGGCACACGCAGCCCCAACCCGCCGCCTCGGTGCAGACCGAGAGCTAACGCTGACTTTACAGAAACTTTCTTTTCCCCTCTTCAGCAAGGGCTGCTGCAGGCTGATTTTGTGGCAGGCTGCAACTGTTGCTTCCCAAACAGCTCAATATTTAAAAAAACAATTAAAGTACCTAAATCCCTTTTTTATCCATACCTTGCCTGACAGTGTAGGTATGTCAGATTTCATGTCGACCTCTGTTTTCGTGCCATTGACTTGTTTCGCTGCCTGCAGCTACGCTGACTTCACACAGCACGGAGTTTCTCTCTGTTGTTGAAGACTTTTTGATCCTGAAAACTGAAGGTGCAGGTGCGGGGCGGTGACAGCGATGCTGGGGTGCAAGTTGCAGGTACATGGGATGTAACATATCAGTATTTCATTTATTTCACCTGCTTTATTTTAAGATCTATTTACCTCATTTTATTTTTTTTCCCCTCGTTTTTGGTTTATCTTTGCACTTCATGAAAATGTTTTAGCTTTGTTTTAATATCCCTCCAATTGTAATGACATTTTCTTATCAGTAAATGGATTCCATCTTCAACAAATAGTGCTGTTTCATGCCTTTCCAAAGTTCCTTGTCCCATCCAACATCCACTAAGACCAGACGACCTCTACCACCTTCAGCACAGAAACCTTTAAATACTCAGAGGCAAGTCAGGTCTAGAAGCATTGGGGTTTCTAAAGCTCTGCTCTTGCTGACTGTATTGAAAATAATCAGCAACATACAGTACGTAAGCACCATGTTTTAATAACTGAACTCATTGTGCATTTATTTCTGGCTTCCTTTAACCTTGGCCGAAGAGTGCAAGTGCAGTTTGCTGTTACCCTGGCAGATGTGAGGCAGCGCAGGAACACGGGGGACATTTGTTCATAAACTCTTTTTTCAAAGTATCTTACAGCATTAAAAAAACAGAAGACAAGCCTGTGGGAATAGGCAAAGGGCAGAATGGATAAATAATTAAATAAATGGGGGGTTTCGAAGCGCGCAGCTCAGGTTTCTGCTGCCAGCATCAGGCCCCTGCCCCTGCAGCCCTGCCCGCAGGGTTAAACCTGGCCCGGAGCTGCAGAGCTGTTCCCAGCCGCTGCGACTAAACCCACCGTGTCTGCTGGCAGAAATATAAATACCCGGAGACTTCAGGCGTTACATGGCAGCTGAGTGTGGGTGTCACAAATGCTAGCAGTGCCTCTACGTGAGGTACCAAGAGGACAGTGAAGCGCCGGGTGTATTTATAGCCCCCGGGGCACAGGCAGTAGCCCAGTGCTCCCTGGGGAACGGGGTCACCCCTCTGCGAGGTGGCAGTGCCCTCCCCCACCCCCCCGGCCCTGCGGAGGGAGCGGGGTGCTGAGCTGACCACCCCCCCTGCCAGCTTGCCCGTTGCCCCAGGCTCATCTGGCTAGCCGGACAGGAGCTGGACACCCTCTGCACCCGTAACACCCCCAAATTCCCCAGCTGAGAATCGGGCAGCGAATCCCACGGGAACAGCCGGTGCCGGGGTGCTGAGCCGGGCTGCTGCCCGCCCAGGGGATCCAGTGACCCCCCCCCAGCAGATCCAATCCCCTCGTTCGAAGTGCTGGGAACACCCTAGACCCTTCCTGGCATTCCCAGGTAGCCGAGGACCAGCAGAGCGATTTATGTAAATAATTCACCAAAGGCATCTGCGGGCCGTTTGTGGCAGTTCCACGCGGCAGCTCCGGCACGCTCGTCCCTGCGGCAGCATCCCCACGGCCAGACACGGGTGGGGGGGGGGCCATGCCGGCACCCGCTGCCCCGCTGGCAGCACGCGCCCTCTAACAGAGATCGCTCTGTGAAAGTGGGCTTGACTGGTGAAAAATGCGTTTCCTTCCACTGTGAATAAATGGCCTTTTGTAGGAAACGGATCTTTCTGCAAGGCGGCGGCTGAGAAATGACCCAGCTATGGCGCTAACCGCCAGCTCCGCGGGGTTCGGGTGGGAGCTGGGTGCCGGGGCCAGCACGGCGAGCCGCTCGGGTGGGAGCAGAGCGGGGAGAACCCAAGGGGCGAGCGCTCCGGGGTCTGCTTCTTAATGCTACCCGGGTGTGAAGAGGTTTGTTCCCCATTCCGGTGGCGCGGGGAGCGCAGAAGCAACCTCGGAGCTGTAGAGCGGGCGGTGGCAGGCGTGGGACGTGGGTAGCCCGCGCTGGGAGTAGCGGAGCGCCGAGGCCGTGGCTGGGATAGCAGCCACCCAAAGAGCAGGGCCTGGCAGCCGGGGGGGGGGATGATCCCCCACACAGCCCAGCAGCCCGAACCGATGCGCCGGGGGCCTGGGGCGCAGCTCTGGCACCAAGGGGTGAGGACTTGCTCGCTTGGCCTCGCTGGGACCCAGCCAGGAGAAGCTCTTGGGGGTTATACACAGTTTTCGTACCAAATATTATACCATTATTAGTTTCAGAATGAATGAGTACTTTTAAGAACCCATATAAGTTTAATTCTTTGCAGACTACTTGCATGGTAGAATTTGAGTATCCTCAGTATAAACACCAAAGTTCAGTCATACATGGAAAATCGTAGAATCACAGACCAGTTTGGGTTGGGAGGGACCTCAAAGCCCCCCCAGTGCCCCCCCTGCCCCGGGCAGGGCCCCCTTCCACCAGCCCAGGGGGCTCCCAGCCCCGTCCAACCTGGCCTTGAACCCTTCCAGGGAGGGGGCAGCCACAGCTGCTCTGGGCCAGCGCCTCACCCCCCGCACAGGGAAGAATTGCTTCCTTATATTTATTGAAAATAAATAAACTTTGTCTTGTTGAGGAGAAATTATTTATTTGTTTGATATTACTGGGCCTTTCTTACAAAAGACTTGTCAAACAACACTGCCCTTACTAGAGGCTGCTGCGATTTCCTTAAAGCCTCCCACTGACCCTCTGTCCTGGTTTTGGCTGGGATAGAGCTAATTTTTTCATCTTTTATTATTTACAATAGTGCTGTGGTTGGGGTTCAGTACGGGATTTGGTATGAGAAGAATGCTGATAACACACTGATGTTTTCAGCTGTTGCTGAGAAATCCAGGACTTTCCAACTCCCCGTGTCCTGCCCCTGCGCAGGTGCACACGAAGCTGGGGGGGAGCACGGCCAGAGCACCAGCCCCAAACTGGCCACTGAAATATTCCGTATCAGACAGCGTCATGCTCAGCGGGTCGAGGAGGGGTGGCGGGGAAGCCCTCGCTCTCGCTTCCAGGATTGCGGTTTGGGGATTTTTCTCATCTCAGGGATCACTGGCTGTGGCTGGGCTGGGCATCGGTCAGCGAGTGGTGAGCAATCGCATTGTGCATCACTCATTTGTATAGTCTATTATTATTGTCATTATTATTATTATTTTTATCATTATCATCATCATCATCATTATTATCAATAATAAAAGGTAATGTTATTAATAAATATTAATAAACAACACTTATAATCATAATAATAATTTTTAAATTCTATTTATTTTAATTATTAGACTGTATTTATCGCAACCCATGAGTGTCCTGACCCTCACCATTCTCTCCCCCATCACCGGGGGAGGGCGAGCAAGCTGCTGCGTGGTGTTGGGCTGCAGCCGGCTGTAAACCACGACACTGTCCGAGGGTGCAGGGTCAGCACTGGCCCCGGTGACCAGCAACAGCCCCGGCACGGCCAAACCCGTCCTGGGCTGGACCGGGACGGGGCTCCAGACCTGCCACTGTCGCTGGAGCCGACGCTGTCGGGCTCAGGCAACCCCAAGCTCATCTCTCCCCCTTTGAAGGTTGTGCCTGGCACCGCGATGTGCACGTCTGAGGTCAAAGAGAAGCTGCTGGCGACTCTTCCCTGGGCCAAAATGCTCCGAGCAGCAGCGTCGGGCATCCCTGGCGCGGCCAGACGCTGCTTCTGCACCACGGACACTGGGGGGGTTGGTTCACTTGCCACACAGAGAAACCTTTTCCCGCTCCGAGAAAGCTTCGGCAGCAGAGAAAAACCTCTCCGGGACCATCAGGTGCCTTCAGAAACACAGATTAATGCAAAATGAAGTCACACAGATTCTGTCTCGGCGCAGCCCAGGTAACCAGTCAGAGCAGTACGTCGTGTGGATGTTGTTCCTGCACCAGGAGAGCTGTGAATTAGTGGTGCTGCCACACAGCATGTCCCGGGGGACACACGCGGCTTCGGCAGGAAACCTGGGACCGGCACGGGCAGAGATCCTAAAAGCCCGGTTAAAAACAACACACCACTTTTTGCTATAGGGATGAGAGTGTACCTATGAGTTTTAGTCATAGGCAGAGCCCCCGGGGAAAGTCGGCGCCGCTGCGAAGGGCCCGGGCTGTGCTGACAAGGGGCAGGAGCCAGGATGGAGCTGGGCGTGCAATCATGTAATTATTTTTGCCCCTGGCAACTCCCATTTCCCTGTTTTCTATTATATGAATTCCATAACTGGTGAGGTCTTCTACCACACGCCTCCATGGCAGCCCACCCCCATCCCACCCCCATCCCACCCCCATCCCAACAGCAGGCTCTGCACGGGGTCCCAGTACGGCGACAACAACCAGGCCAGATAAAAGCAGTGTGCCCAGGCTCTGCCTGCGCTTTCCTTTGAGCCGCAGCTTTCATCTGCCTCAGCAATGTGTCAGGAC